ATGAAATTTGAATTGCAAAAGAATAAAGGAAGGAAGGGATAATGCAAGACGAAAAAAGTTGCATGTTAAATGAATTCCTAAAAAAAAGAATGTGAAAAATTTAAAGAACAAAGGGCAATGCATGAAGTGATGTATAAACATGACAGAAGCAAGCATGGTTTGCAAGTGAAAAGTGTGGAGAGGTATAAGAATGTTTTTATTGCAAATTAATTTTAATTATAAATCTTTTTCTTATCTTATTTACCTTCTTACCCCTATTTTCTTTGGCTTACTACTTCTTTCTCTTTTTCTACACTTTGCATAAATATTGCTTATCAAAAGTAAATAGCATGATGGGTATAAAGGATGGGAAAATGGCATGATAAAATGTAATACTCAGAATGGCATTAAAATATATGGTATTTTTCACCATTGCAATCTTAGACTTTGAATTCACCTAAGCTTTGTCAGCATTTCTCATATATCCTGTGATGATGGAAAAGTGGGGAAGCATCTTCTCTGTCTAGAACTGGGAAACTACTAGCTCTGACCCAACATAAACATATATATGGGAAATGCATTTAGTCCCAATTGGATGAAACTTTGTCTATGAATTAAATGATTCAAGTATTCCATGCTTGTTTTGCATTTAAGCCAAGTATCCCATGCTTGTTTTTCCTTTAAGAGTGAAAAATCAGTGCCTTCCTTTGATTTATTGACAGTGTTTAATTCTTTTCCTACTGGGCGCCTTTTGGTTTTGCTAGGACTGCCATTTTCAGCTTTCCCATATCTGGAGGATTTGGGGCGGGGGAAGTCTGGCCTACTAATGTAAGTAATACAATTTGTAGAATTTTGTGATGCAAGTTATTGTGATTATTAATGGTTCAGAGGATTTTAAAAGCAATAGTGTTTTTTTTTTAATGTATCAAATGTGTTAAAGCCGTGGCAGTCAAAATGGAAGGCCCACATTGCGAAGGGTAACCAACAGACACCAAGCAGTAAAAGAGGAAAAGACTGTGGTCTTCAAGTCTAATGGCATAGAATAAATAACTTTATCGGGACTTAGAATTTTTTTTGGCAGGGGAAAGGATATACTGTAGATGGAGCACTTGGAAGCCAAGGCTAATGTATGTTGCCAACTAAAACTACTTAGTAAAGAGTCTGGATGATAAATTTGGAGTGTACGCTTTCTATGGCTGTATCTGTGTTTTGGTGGAAGTGTTCTCAATGTCACCTGGTGTTTTTTTTTTTTTGCAATATGTTGCTGACCCATATTGAGGACAAATATGATTAGATTTTGGGTTCTCAGAGGTGAACTCTGCCTTCTTATAACTCACCATCTCCTTCTTATCACAGGAAGGAGGGAAACTTTTCCTTCTGCTGTTGTTTAACTTCACTTTGTTTTTTCAAAACCGATAGACAGTGTGTAATGTTATTCCTGGTTAATTAGAAATGTGCTAGTTAAAACTCAAGTTTATTATGTAAACAGATGACAAAACAGTAGACGGTAAAGAATTTTTTTGCCAATAACTGTATTTAAGGACAAAAGTATTCTGAAAAACATTTTTAAGTAGAAAAATAACTCCTAGGCATTGCAGTCAAATGAGGCTGGAGCTCACTAACGAAATAAATTGAGGTGTGAGAGGATGTTGCCAGTGTCATAGCCGTTAAATACACTAATTGCGATCCAAATTAAGCTTTTCCATATTGTAAAATTCCTGAATATATCAATATATTTTTGTTGTTATATGTGATTTAAAAGTAATTTGTTAGTTACATTTAGCTAGGGATGATTTTGGACTTCAGTTTCCAAAAATGAGTCTATATTAAGAAAACCAGCTGTAATTATTTGAGAATGAGAATAGCGCTATTGCATATGAGGGCAAAATATTTCTAGTGCTTTGTTTAGAAACTTGCATATTTTGCCTTAGTCTAGGCATTATCTCATGCTTCTTCTTATGAATTTCCAACCTTGGAGTCAAACAGCAGAGTAGAAAAACTCTTTGCCTTCAATAGCTGAAACCTCTAACATTCTGACAAGTTCTAGAAGGATATGATTTCAATTACTGTCATTGAAAAAAAAACCCTGCTCTTTGTTGATAATAATTTCTATAAAGTAAATAAAATCACTGTATTTATATTGTCACATCAATGCCAAGTGTAAATTTGAAAAACACATATAATTTCCATGACTTTTGAAAGTAAAAGGGCAACAACTCAAAGAGGAAGAAGTTCTCAAGACATGGTGTCTGAATACTTAACAGTTACTCTAGACCAGTGATGGTTAACCATCTCGGCACTGAATGCTGAAAGCGCGTGCGCGCACACCCATAATGAAATGAGCAAGCCCCCCGCGCCTGCCCCCTGCATGCGCCCCATGCACCACACATGTGCGCAACCCCCTGCATGCACCCTGCCCTGTGCATGTGCAAGTGACCCCACGCATGCATGCATGACACCTGCATGCACCCTACCTTCATGCATGCATGTGTCTCCTCACACATGCATGGGAGAAACCTGAAAACCAGCTGACCGGCAGGAGGCATGTAGGCATGCGTGGAGGAGCTGAGCTGGGGCAACAGCTCGCATGCCTGCAGAGAGGGTTCTGTGTGCCACTCGTGGCACGCGTGCCATAGGTTTGCCATCATGGCTCTAGACACTTCATAGTTTCATAAATTTTCTTAAATGTCAATCTGTTTATGAATATTGGGTTAACTGAGAGGTAACATTAACATGCTTCTGTTTATGTGCACCATGCATATTGTGATATGCTATGCTACTTGGCTTTTTAAAATGCTAAAACTATTCATCATATTGTTCTGCCAACTTCGCCATGCTTTGTCCTTATTTCAAAAGCATGATAGCAAGGCTAAATTTATATTTAGCTATTAAGTTGTAGCAGTATCAGTTAAAATGGTTATCCAAACTATTTGTAGTCTCATATTTGTAACTGATTGCTTATTACTTGGTAATTCTTACACGGAGTAATATAGGAAAGAGAGAAGTAACTGTTTGATCAGTTTGCCCTGTATATTAACAGATAATATGTAAACAGAGAGTCTGCATGGAGTCAAGCTCTTTTGTTTTCCTTCTTTCAAATGAAGACTTACTTGCTAAGGCCCCAGAAAGCATTTAAAAAGGCATATTAACATGAGTGAAGCATTTCTCCTTGAAACATTACAGATAGTACTTGACTTACAACTGATTGCTTAGCGACTGTTCAAAGTTATGACGGACCTCCCTGGGGGTACTTACAACTTGGTTGCAGAGTGGGCCATGTTGTAAGATACTGGTATTCTATATGTAGCAATCACAGTTGGGACCTGTGACTTAGTCATTAAAGCGAACCTATTGTTAGGTGAAACTGCAGTTCTGCTTATGATCTTACTTCAGCTCTCCTTTACCTGCTTGTGAAGATCATAAATGTGAGGACTGATCATAAAGTTGCTTTTTCATCATTGATGTAACTGCAAATGGTTGCTAAATTAGGCACACACTAAAGAAGACTACCTATAGCCCAGTAGTGGATTTCAATTTCGTTTGCTACCAGTTTGCTCATGGGCGCGCACAACACTTCTGCACATGCTTAAAAGCTTCTGCGCATACGCAGAGTCATCTGGGTGAGTGGGCGGAGCTTCCCGCCGCTGCTACCGGTAGCAACCCACCACTGCTATAGCCATAATATAGTATACAACACAGGAAGATACCTGCTGAATCAAGATGAATCTGATGTAGCATTTTATGCCACACATTGCCAAGCAGATGCATCCAGTAGGCTCATTCATAAAGACAGGAAAAAATATCTTTCCTCTCCTGTTAATGGTTATTAGCTATTATTCAAAGCAAGTTGCCTATATTCCAGAAATAGCAAATATCCATTAAGCCTTTAGTCAATGCAGCTCAATTCTCCATGAACTTGTTCAATCCTCATTTAATACCGTCTAATTTGATAACTGTTACCTATGATGATAAGGAACTTTATAGATGACATGTGTATTATCATGTTAATAAGCCAATACCTAAGCATGGTTGATGATGCCCTCAAGAAGGGTTTATTTGGAGACTGAGGGAGGGAGAGAAGTATGCAGCAGCTTCCATCATATTCATTGTATTTTGCTAGGTTAGTGATTGATTGATGACTGATTGATTGATTACATCATTTTTTTACTCTTAGCAACCATGTCGATTTTATGCGTGAGAATCTATCTCTAACCTGTTTTTTCAAGTTTCTCAATGGTGCACCACTAAAGACCTTATTGCACTTGCTATTTATAAGAAGATTGCCTGTAGATGTAGGCTTTGTATAGACAAATACAATGAAATATAAAAACTTATTCATACAGGGTACAATAAGCTAAAATAAGATCATTGTGTAAATGTATTAGAAATACATAAGTTAAATAATGTTTGCATTAGTGAAATATATATCTAAAATTGTAACTGCTTATTGTTATAATGGCATGTCATAGTTTTCTTTATTGGATTTCACTTTTTTGTTAAAGTATTTTTATGTGTCTTCTAATTAGTTTTGATAATATTATGCCTAAACCATGGAACTGTGGAAATGGGAGGAAAGTATGACAATTAACATGAAATGAATGAAATTTAAACATTGTCTGTAAACACACATTGATGTTATTAGCAATGAAGCACAAAAATACAACATGCAGAAAGATTGAAATTCTATTTTGTTGACTGACTGATTACTTGTGTAGTTAATCTTCCATTGAAAATAAATCTAATATATTTTCTTGTATTCTAAGAATCCATCTTTTCCATCCAACATCAACAAAGCTTTCAATTTTTAATGTCAGTTATAGATATTTTTAAAATGACTAAGTGTACTTACAATTTTCCCCCTCACCTAAGTTGAAAAATCAGTACTGATGCATTAGGTAATTAGGAGGAATAATCAGATAAACATTCATTGTTTTCCGCCCCCTTTTGTCTTGTATGATGGATGTACAAATGAATTTCAGGGCCTTTTATATCCAAATAATGTTTACTTTCTTTTGTTCTAGTTTAGCCTTGGATCATTGATATTACAGAAAGTTACAAACTCATCTGAAGTCATTAGAGAGTTGATTACCTATTGCCTAGATTGTGTAAAAGAACTACATGCCAAAAATGATCATCTACAAAAAGAGAATGAAAGGCTTTTGAGTAATCTGGATGACATCCAAGAGCAGTAAGTTGAAAAATAATATTCACAGGTGTTTTTTTTATTATTTTCTTCTGATTCCCTCATACTTTTTATTATGTGAATAGAATGCTTATTTACTAAACCAGGGATTAATAAAGTTGATTTAAAGTTAATTTAAATCAGTTGGATATGACCTTTGTTGGATTATATACACCAGTGAAAACAGAGAAGTAAATTTTCCCACTGTTTAAAGTACTGAAAATTTTGAATCTTCCTAGGATATATTGCACCAAGATATTTATTGATAAATTGCTTGCATTTTTATCATTTCTAGGCTGTTCCCTCTTACCACTCCCCCAACTAATTAAAACTTAATTTATGTACAGGAGTTCTTCAGGTAGTTGATCAGTAGCTCTAATGTTTCTAGGAAGATTTACTGAATTGATCTCCGCAGTAATGATATCCAGTCATTTGCATTTAAATTAGTTGAATTATTTATTAGCTATTAAATATTCACATCATAGGATTATTTGTCATTTATGGAGTCATTTAGTAGATAAAGCTGTAAAAGCTATGTTTTCTAACATTTTGACATAGACTACTGTGCGATGACTCAAATCTATTTGATATAAATAAAAGTTTTAAATCGATGTAATCATTTAATGTACAAGAAGAAATGTGCTTTTAAATTAGAAGACTTTAGTACCAAATCCTATTACAGTATTCCAATTCCACATTGCATTTTGCATTTACTTGTAGGATGATGCATGTAGAATTGTGATATAATACACACACACACACACACCCCTAGTATTATATCAGATATATTTAGTTCCTGTTGTGGATAGATGTTTTGATGGCTAAATCCCCAACAGCAGTAACAACTTGCTATTACTATATGCAGATACAAGGTTTTAGTGCTCGTTTAGTAGCATGACAAACGATTGCACTTCTGGAAAGTTTGGCAATACTTTGATTTTCTAGTTAACGAGACTACAGCAGAACAAGAGTTCATATGGTCCTGATACACATGTGGCAGTACTAACAAAATGACCTATTTATAAAATAGCTGCTATCACTGGCGGCTTTAATCCCAAATTCATTTATTGGCAGGCAAACTAGCTCTTAGGATGCTTTCTCTCAGTCCACTGGGACACTGAGGGAGCGAAAGGTATTGTTACAGCAAATAAGATGCTAGAAGAGGATCCTTTACTTTCAAGATGCTAACAGTATGCATGCTAGCAATATCCATTGTGCAAGTAAACTGACAATGTTCAGTATGAAGCTGAATATTTTCAGATTTTTTCATAAGCCATTATATAGGCTTTTAAAAATTCAGCATGTATCTTTGATATTCTATTAAAATAATTATCTCTCTCAAATGTAAAATCAATAAATATGTATAATATTTGTGTCTATAATGAAATCATAATCAAATAATTTTCCTGGTATAGTTGTGCTTCTATTCACTTTCATCATTTCTGCCATACTCGATGACTTTGATTTAAGCTTCTCAGGAAGGTCAGCACAGTATTTTTTGTTTTTGTTCTTTTTTTAAAAAACCTCTCGTATTCTTTATTATATAATTAACAGCGGCATTTATTTTTAAGATTACAAAAATGTGTTGAAGCTAAAGAAGAACTGGAAACTGATCTTTATAAGCGATTTGTCTTGGTCCTTAATGAAAAGAAAGCAAAGATAAGAAGTTTACAGAAACATTTAAAAGAAGTTGAAGAAACAATACCGGAAACTGCACAAGCAGGGTATAATTTATTACTTTCCTTCCACTAAATAAACATCATGCATGAAATAGATGTAGTTCTGTTCTCTATCTTATACAGGCTTCAAAGTTCAAGGACTGTGTGTCCTTGAAATGAAGTAATATATTACTTAGTTCTATAGAAGAACTTTAGCAATTCAGCATTCTCATGAATGGCAATGATGCATTAATTGTAGTGTATATTTGAAGCATTCTATTTAATAATTTAATCTGTTTAATTTATTTATTAAACTGCATTTATATTTTTAAAAATAAAATAATTATTTAATGACAAATGAAATCTACAAACTATTTTCTCTTGCAAAGGATCTATTTATGGGTCTGTGACTGCTAGAGCATACTAATTGAAGATAAAGTTTATTCCCTTTAAATTCATTAAAAAAAATATTACAGCTTGTGTTGATGCCATTGAACCTAACAATGGGCCTAAAAGTGGCCGTTTTTCTTAATAAGATTTCAAGATTTGTTTCCAGCTGAAAGAAAACAGATGGCTTTTGGATAAAGTCACTCTGTATTCATATATAATTCAAAAAATATCAAAATGTGCAGAGCTTTCAGTAACAATAGTATTATAATGCTAATGATATTAGGACCATGCTGTAATCTGTTTTCCAAGCCCAAATTGTGATTCAAAGTTTATATGTAACACTCATCAGAACATTTTGAAAGTATTTAAGATGTTCCTTGTAGGAGCTGCTCTCCAGAGGTGGGTTTCAGCAGGTTCTGACCAGTTCTGAAGAACTGGTAGTGGAAATTTTGAGTAGTTCAGAGAACCGGTGGTAAAAATTCTGACTGGCCCCACCCCCATCTATTCTCTGCCTCCCAAGTCCCAGTTGATTGGGAGGAAATGGGGATTTTGCAGTAACTTTCCCCTGGATTGGGGACGGAATGGAGTTTTTACAGTATCCTTCCTCTGCCTCGCCCACCAAGCCATGCCCACCAAGCCATGCCATGCCCACCAAGCCACACCCACAGAACCTGTAGTAAAAAAATATTGAAACCCACCATTGGTACTCTCCATCTTTTAGGAATACGATAAGAGTCACCCAGAGGTCAATACACATCTATAAATGAAATAAATACAGGTTTCATGGGTTTAACCATTCATTCAATGACCTTTTGAAGTTATGGCAGTGCTGAACAAGTGGTAGATATGTGTGGTCCCTGAGGTTTCAGCCATTGCAGCACCTCTGCAGTCACGTGATTAAAATTTTAGGCGCTTAGCAGCTGGCCCGCACATATGACTGCAAGCTCCTCCATCTACCTATGTTCCCCAGCCCATCTTTGCACTTATAGTTGCCCTGAACTCACTAATCGTGCAGGCATTGTCACTCTGGACCTTCTGGCCTCCAACTAACCTTTGCTGTCTTCCTCCTGCCACTGTTCATGAGGCATACCTTCTTCCTGAGGCCGCAGTTGCCTTTTGCCCAATGTGCACGTGGCCTTGTCTGAATTGTGTATGGCTTTCTTATAACGTTTTGGAAGGCGGGCATATGGAAGATGGCCCCATCTATTCTGGTATGAAAGAAAGGCTTGGCTAGAAGGATCCTTCTTTTCCATCAGTACTGTACAGCTAGGCCAGTGATGGCTAACCTTTTCCGGACCGAGTGCCCAAACTGTGCGCACAAAACCCACAAAATGCAATGTGCACATGGCCCCTGTGCCTGCACCCCTTCACCTGTGCATGCGCATGCAGCCCTCCCATGGCCACGCCCCCATGCATGTGCGTGCAGCCCCCCACATGTGCCCTGCACATGCATGGCAGAGACCCAAAGACCAGTTGGCTGGCGGGAGGCGTGCTCGCATGCACATTAGAGCTGAACTGGGGTGACAGCTCGTGTGCCCACAGAGTGGGCGCTGTGTGCCACCTCTGGCACATGTGCCATAGGTTCGCCATCACAGAGCTAGGCCTTTCTTTCATGTTGTGTTTCAGAATGAAGTTTTCTCCCTTCCTGAATTCTAGAAACTAAAATTCTGAAAGAAAGTGAACAGGACTGATTGCTTGAAAATATGTCAATTCATAATTGTAAAAATGGCACTGGGCGTTACACCAAAAATTCTTGGAGGTACTTAGATAATCTGCACATTGGCAAAATTTCTATCTGTCAGTTACAAAAGTTTATGTTGCTTAGATCCACACAAATACTTTGCCAGTACATTATGACATCTTGGATTTTCAGGAAGAATTTGATGAATATGAAGGCCAACACCAAGAAAAGGCAGCTGTGATTTTATACAGTTGTATCTATAATAATTGCCTTTTTTAAAGGCTAGAAAAAAATCAATGGCCAAAACCTCCATGTTGTTGCCAATAAAATATTCACATAAGTACCCTAAACTCCACTGACATAAGAATGTCTTTACTTATATAAAATTATGTCCATGGATCAACTTTGGTTAAGTCTTGCCTTGGGATGAAATTTTTGAATTTAAATATATAAATGGGATTTAAATAAACATTAAATTTAACCATGAGACCACTTCATTTCTTATATTTATGTTTGTTTTTATTATTACATTGACTTCAACATGCAGTGATGTTAATATATATAATTGAAAACATTTTTGTATGTTGCATACTTATAGGCTAAAAATACATATTTTTTTGCTCTATAGAACCTACAAGGCTTGTGACCTTGGGGTATTTTTTAATATGACATTTTTGTTTTATTTCTATTTGAATATATAATGTGAGAATTTATATAATAGGATTCCTGATAACATACTCTAGCATCATCTCTTTAGAATTTAGTTATTGGAAAATACTTTATCTCACTGGTTAATCTTTCATGTTAGAATAAATTTGGCATGCACCAAAATATACTTACTTTTTCCCCAAGGCACTGAATGACTGCAAAGTTTGATTTAATATTATAGAAATGTTATATACAAAGTTTTGCTGTGCCATAAATTGGGAAGAAAACATACAATAGTGTCATAGATAAGATATTAAAAGTTTAATGAGAACCAGCATCTGTCAACATTAGTGGTAACATTTAGACAAATGGGACTAACATTGACTTTCATAGCTTTGAATGTCTCAAATTGGCACTGGGACAACAGCTATTAAAACATTTTTGTAAAATTGAAGCCGGAGATTAGGAAAAGAAAATAGAATGTGGGAATATAATGAATTTGAAAGGAAAAAGAGTGAAAAGTTCAAGAGTAACAAATAAAATATATAATAAAATATGTGTTCTCTATTCCTTCCACTTATTCATTTAATTTATAGGTCCTTCCCCTACCCTCAACTCCAAAATAACTCTGCAACTTACAACTAAGGTAGATAGTTGGGTAGGTAGGTGGGTGGGTAGGTAGGTAGGGAAGGAAGGAAGGAAGGAAGGAAGGAAGGAAGGAAGGAAGGAAGGAAGGAAGGAAGGAAGGAAGATGATACAACTGAACTGAAGAACCAGTATTCAAAAGAAGTATTCAAAAATGAATCAAAACAAATGAAAGGACAAAAGGAGGGTTCTACAATAATTTTGTATGCAACGCCTGAGAAAATAACCTTCAATAGTTTCTTGAATGTCAGAATGGTGGGAATGACACAAATCTCTTTTCTCTATTTTTAGTCATTAGGTCATTACAACAAGAAATGTGTTTCTAAAATAATTTACTATTACAAATGTTACCCAACATTATAAAGTAAGATTAATTAAAACCATTCCTTTTTTCTATTAAGGCACTTTGTCCCTTTCTTGTCTGTTTATGAACTCCATATGTTCTACAGTACTGGTGTATTTTGATAAAGTTTTGTATTTTTCTAGGGACACAGTAATTGCTTCAAAAAGTACCATTGAAAAAGAAAATTATGAAGGAAGCACTGATGAAGAAAGTGAAAATTTAATACAACTGACAACCTCAGAGTCAAGTAAGACCAAGACCAAGTTGTTTACATTGATGTCATTACAACCATCTATTTTAATTGATTCAAACTGTCAGGTTCCTTATTATAAGTTAATATGAAAGCATACCATTTTTAAAATCTTTAATCTTGGAGAGAATCATGTACAGTAATTCCATTCGGTGCTTTAAAAATCAAAATATTAAGATTCAGATTTTTCTAATAGTAAGCACAGGAATGAAAGCTGTGCATTGAGATAGGGCACTGAAAAAATGATAAATGCCTTTATAGGTTACAAAAAAGATAGTAGACTGAAAGAAGAACCATCTAGTCCTGTGATGGTGAACCTATGGCACACGTGCCAGAGGTGGCACGCAGAGCCCTCTCTGCTGGCACGTGCAGCGCCGCCCCAGATCAGATCTCCGTGGCATTTCTTTCATGAGCTTCTGTTTCCCTGCAAACAATGAAACAGAAGCTCATGAAAGAAAAAGATCTTACCTCTTGCCGCGCTGCCAGTGTTGGGATGCCCCGCCTCCCACTGGCGACCTGGTTTTTGGGTCTCTGCTGCACATGCACACATGTCCGTACATGCACACATGCCTATGCACGCACACACATCCGTACATGCACACATGCATGTCAGCACAAACACACATGCCTATGCAAGCATGCATGTCTTTCAGTTTGGGCATGCATGCACGCAGTTAGGGCACTCGGTGTCTAAAAGGTTTGCCATCACTGATCTAGTCCAGCAGTCACCAACTGGTGGTCCTTGGGAAAATTTTGGTGGCCCGCAGAAAAATTATTTGCATTTTTTATATGGCACTAAATCAGGGGTCCTCAAACTATGGCCCCTGGGACAGATATGTGCAATGAATGTTTTGTGTTACTGCAGAGAGTCTCCCCCTTGGGGTCTTTTTGTGTGGGTCGGAGGTGGGCAGAAATTCCGACTTGAGGTCTACTTCAGCCTCCTGGTATGCGGCTTTGGGCGAAGGCTGGAGGGAAGCGCTGCTGGGTGGCGAAGAACCGGAGGGCCTTTTTCCAGTGGGACTACCTCATAGCCTGGAACTGGTTGACCATCTCATCCCAGGGGCTGGTATTTGGCCTTGCACTCCCACAGGTCTTCCCTCTGCTTGGAAAGCCTATGGTCCTAGTCCTCAGTGAGGTGCTTCTGCTGAGCCTCCTTCTTGGCCAGATCCAATTTGAACCGAGCCAGCTGTTTTGCCAACTCTTTCTCGTGGTGGCTACTTAGCTCCAACAACTGCTTCCTGTTGGGACCCTAAGGAGCCCGGGTGGGCAGGCGAGGAATGGCTGGGAAGGGAGGGGCGAGTAGAGGCCAGCGAGGCATCCCTTGATGTAAGTGACATCAAGTCCATCCAGTCACATGACTACCTAGCCACGCCCACCCAGCCGGTCATTAGGCCGATCATATTAGTAACAAGTAACAGTAACAGAGTTGGAAGGGACCTTGGAAGTCATCTAGTCCAACTCCCTGCTCACACAGGAGACCTATACTAGAGATTTGAACCACCAAACTGCTGGCCTTTCTGATTGACAAGCTCAGCGTCTTAGCCACTGAGCCACTTAGTCAGGTATAGGTGATCCGCGGGATTTAAAATTATGAAGTTAGTGGTCCCTGAGGTCTGAAAGGTTGGGGACCCCTGATCTAGTCAGTCCTGGATTTAACTAAAGACAGACTGATTGCATCCTTGAATTGATGATCATTAATAGGGAACTCAGTTAGTATAGACATGTAGTGAAAAAGAACTGAACTTGAAAAAAATAGCTTTCTTGACAGGCAGAGAACTCATTGACTTTTTTCCCTTTTAGCTTTATATTTAATTTGGTGAAACAATTTTTTAATTTTTTTAATTATCAGGAGGAAGCAATTGTTTTTTCATTGATTTTGAGACAGATGGTTAAAAGACATTTTTATTGTGAAATCCTCTTTCCCTAACTTCTACCTTTTAGTTTAATCTCCAGAGAACTTCAGTTTGGCTTTTCCGGTAACAGAACTTTTGTCACACTAAGTTGTAGTAGACTACTGGAAATTGTTGGACAATTTCTCTTCTTCCAGAGGAATTTAGACACCATCCACTCATTTCTCTGCTCAGAAATTTGATGAAAAACCTCACTGTTCCTTTTTCTAGTGTTGTATGTTTTTGATAAAGTGAAAAAAATCAGCAAATTTTGAAAAATAAAATACGTGGAAGAGGGACCTGACTTTATTTTTATACAAATACAAGTACTCCATCCACAAGGGACTGGAATTTTACTTATTAAGCAATGTACAGTAGTTATAAAGCAAGATAACAGAGGACTGCATCATTTAGTGATCGCAACCCTGGTAATTCCTGTTGCCAACATTAAGCAAATTTTACTGGTCGTTAGCCAAGGACCCACCCAGTGCCTTCAAACCTTGAACTTCAGTAAGATAAGGGACTGCTTCCAACTTCTCTCACTCACCTCTCTCACCCCTCCACCCCCATCTTTGTCCCTTTGTTTATCAAGGCTCTGGGGCTGCTTCCCACATCCTGGGATGCCACAGTCACCCTAGCCCAGTCCAGTTGCCCTTTCCACCCTGCACTCCAAGATCCCTGCTGCCCTGCACTCTGCCATCCCAGCTCACCTTTGCAATCTTCTTGCCTGATCTGGCTGCAGGATGCTCTGATGCTGGCTTTCAGCAGAAGCAAGAAGAAAGCAAAGATGAATTGGGCTGGTGGAGCATAGGGTGGTAGGAGGCCAAAAGGTCATAGATGATGGAGAAATTGGCAGGTGGAGGGAGTTACAGCAACTTGCCCCCCTCCCCCCCCACAGTTATTAGTACAGGCAGGCTGCCAAGTGCTGAGTTTTGTTTACAGCAACAGCCATTACTTCCTGCATGGGTTGTAAGTCTCTTCATTCAGCACGTTGTAACTTTGAATAGTCACTGAACAAATGGTCATAAGTCAAGAACTACCTTTCTGAATCATGAATTGATACCCCAAGGTCTCTCATAACAATCAAAGACTTTCAATGAATGAAATTATCAAGAACATAGTTATTTTTTAGGGGGAAAAACATAAATGAATTCTCCTTAGCAGCTTGCAAGGGAAATTGCTCTCACATTAATTCTTAAGCCTATAAATAATGTTGAAGCAATGTCAGGGCTCTGACATTTGGTCCTAAGTAGATTTGAAACAGACTCTCAATGTGTGGGTAACTTAAATTGCAAGACTCTTTGTAAATCATTGTGCTCTCTCATGTGTTCAAAACAAATTAGAGTGTAATGTTTATAGGTCTCTTAGCTGTTTATAACTTTTACCTGACTCTGCTTTCTTTGGCAAAGCATTGTACCTCTGGGAAGCTGGTTTATTTTGTTTACATATATTGTTGCTCAGACTGGGCTGTTACAGATGTCTTTGGCAAATTATCCTCAGATCTTTGATTTGCAAAGAGTACTTTATCCTACTTTTTTGTCATTCTTTCCCATAACATTTAAGTCTTTCTGTTTGGTATACATTAGTAATAAAAGCACTCTATTCATTATTTTAGGTCATGTCTGGTACTTATTCTCAGATTGATTTGGTTGTATTTTCAGCAATTAAAAGGCTTGGTTTGTTTCTTTCTTTCTCCATTTTGCAATCTAAATTTGTTATGTAGAAGTAGTTCTTAACAATGCAAATCTCCCACTCCAATGAAATACTGTATTATTTGTTGGTTAAATTTATCTATTTTTTGATAGTCAAAAAATAAAAGTATCATGGTAAAGTTAGTTAGGGAGGCATTGCAATTAAAAATTGATTATTTTATCTCAAAAAGTGGTTTCATTTATTTCAGAACGCAAGATCATTTCCCCATTTGCACCTAATGCAGCACAACATGTATTCAAAACATTATTTTTCTGCTATGTTTCCATGACATTGCCTTCAGAGTTCATGAGTCAGACTAAGCCATCGTTGACTGTCCCAGTAATAAAATAGTCTTTCCCTCCTTAAATCAGTGACAATTTCAAGGTTCATAAAATCCCTGACACTTCATCACTCATTACATCAGTACTGGATAGGATCAGAGAGGTGCTAATTGGGCATTTCAGCCTGGTATGGGTGTGCCCCATCCCTGATGGTTTGTGCTGTGCCAGAACTGACAAAGCGGTGCTATTGCAGTAGTCTGTCAGATTTGTATAAGGACAGTAGAGCTCTATTCTTTAGTGCAAGGGTTCCCTTTCTGTCCTTTAGCAACCCTGTTATAGCTGCATTCAAATGGTTCAACCCTTGTGTACTCAGAGAGCACAATTTAGCAGGTGGACGCCACCATTAAAAAACCTGTGTGGAATGGTGGAAACAATCAGCAGCCATTAATATAAATGATAATCTCACACTAGTACTAGGCTGCTCAGGTGGTAGTACTGCAAGTGTTTTAACCTTATGACCTTATGGCTTTACTACAAGGTTGAAAGAATAGGAGAAATGAATGATGGGACCATCCACTGTACCTTTACATCTTGAACAGAATACAAGGCTCTTGAAATTGGTATATTTATATATGTAAAGAAAGGAAATGAAGCAAAAGAAATCCAAAATAAAAATACTGCTTTTTATCATTTCCAGTCTTTAGGGATTAAAAAAAAGAAAAGTTAAGTTCAGGTTGTGGCAGGCAGAATGTGGTGTGGAATGGTTATAAAAATAGAATTCTTTATTGGCCAAGTGTGATTGGATACACAAGAAATTTGTCTTGGTGCATACGCTCTCGGTGTACATAAAAGAAAAAGAGGGTAAATATGATGGAACTGAATAAATGCAAAAGGGACATATAGGGTTTTTCAATGTGACAGTAGATTTATTCTAATACTAGATAAATAACATTTTGGAATACATTCAGAGAGGTATCTGATTTGAAAATAAGCCATGTTAAACTGTATAGCAGAGTCAAACATTAGCACAGGAAACGTTTTATGACATTTTGAATTATGCCATAAACTGCTTTATGATAATGTTTATCTCATAAAATGTTTTATAAAATTGACCAACTTTCAATTCCATAGGAGT